TCACCGAGGGTGGTGTGGTGTGTGGTGTGTGCGGGGGGGGGGGGACTCACCGTGGCTGTGTGTGTATGCTGTGGTCTCTGCCTCGCTCTCGGCTGGCTTGTCGCTGTGGCTTGTTGCTGGCTGGCTGCTTGCTTGCTGGCTTGTTGCTCTGGTTGGCTGGCTTGTTGCCTGGTTGGCTGGCTTGTTGCCTGGTTGGCTGGCTTGTTGCTCTGGTTGGCTGGCTTGTTGCCTGGTTGACTGGCTTGTTGCCTGGTTGGCTGGCTTGTTGCTCTGGTTGGCTGGCTTGTTGCCTGGTTGACTGGCTTGTCGCTCTGGTTGGCTGGCTTGTTGCTCTGGTTGGCTGGCTTGTTGCTCTGGTGTGGCTGGCTTGCCACTCTGGCGTGACTGGCTGCTTGCTGGCTGGCTGCTTGCTGGCTGGGCGGTGACTCGCGACTGCGACATCGGCTCGGTGAATAGCTCGATTGCGGCGTCCATCCCGCATACACCGGCATGGCGTCGTTGCCGTTCTTTGACGAGGTCGAGCTGGCCGAGGTCGACCTGCTGCTTGTCTCGCACTTTCATCTCGACCACGCAGCGGCGCTGCCGTACCTTCTGTTTAAGACCGACTTTGCGGCGCCAGTGTACATGACGCACGCAACCAAGGCTGTTTATCGGGTCATTCTGCAGGACTTTGTCAAGGTCTCCAACGTGGCGGTGGAGGAGATGCTGTATGATCAGCAGGATCTTGCGGCGTCGATGCAGAAGATCGATACGCTCAACTACCACCAGCAGCTCGAGGTGGAGGGAATCAAGTTCTGGGCGTACAACGCCGGGCACGTCCTCGGCGCGGCCATGTTTATGATTGAGATTGCCGGCGTCAAGATCCTTTACACCGGCGACTACTCGCGGGTCGAGGACCGGCATCTGATGGCGGCCGAGGTGCCTGATGACAAGCCCAACGTGCTCATTGTCGAAGCCACGTACGGCCGGCAGATCCATGAGCCGCGCGAGACGCGCGAGAAGCGCTTCACCGGCGCCATTTACAACGCTGTCCGCCGCGGCGGGCGTGTTCTTCTTCCGGTCTTTGCCCTCGGGCGCGCCCAGGAGTTGCTACTCATCCTGGAAGAGTTTTGGGACTCGCACGCCGAGCTGGCCAACATTCCTGTGTACTACACGTCGGCGCTGGCCTCGCAGTGCATGAACATCTACCAGACGTACATCAACATGATGAATGAGCGTATCCGGGCCGTTCACCACGTCCGCAACCCGTTCCGGTTCAACCACATCTCCAACCTGCGCTCCATCCGCGACTTTGACGACGTCGGCCCGTCGGTCGTCATGGCCACGCCCGGCATGCTGCAGTCGGGCACCTCGCGCGAGCTGTTCGAGTCATGGTGCTCGGACCGCCGCAACTGTGTCATCCTTGCCGGCTACTGCGTCGAGGGCACTCTCGCCAAGGACATCATGTCCATGCCGCCGACCATCACCACCCTCTCGGGTCGCACCGTCCCACTCAGCATGTCGGTCGAGTACATCTCGTTCTCGGCCCACTCGGACTACGAAGGCACTCGCGACTTTGTGGCCCGCCTCAAGCCCGCCCACGTTGTCCTCGTTCACGGCGATGCCAACCAGATGCAGAAGCTGAAGGAAGGCCTCGACCGCGACCTGGCTGACCTCGAGCTTGAGATCCTCACCCCGAAGAACTGCGACGTCGTTGAGCTTCACTTTTCCGGTGAAAAGGTGGCCAAGTCGGTCGGCCAGCTTGCTCGAAAGCGGCCCAAGGCCGGCCAGGCCGTCTCGGGCCTCATTGTCCGCAAGGATTTCAACCACCTCATCATGACCGGCGCTGACCTGCCCAACTACTCACACCTCACCACCGCGTCGATCTCGCAGACGCTGGTCGTGCCTTTCGCCGGCACCTTTGCCCTCGCCGCACACTACCTCGCCTCGGTCTTTGATCCCGTTGTGCTCGAGCTCGTCGAGCCCGGTGCAGCGACAGAGGTGGGAGCGCCCGAAGAGCTCCGGTCGCGGGTCGTTATCCACTCGGCTGTCACTCTTGTCCACGACGCCGCCAAGGGCACCATCACCGTCCAGTGGCCGTCGACCGCTGTCAACGACGCGCTTGCAGACGCCGTCGTCGCCGTCCTCGCAGGCATCGCTGCAAACCCATCGGCCATCAAGCTCACGTCGGCCGCCGGCGCTCACTCGCACGGCGACGACGACCACGACCACGAGGCCCACGCTGCCGCCATCGCCCAGCAGGAAAAGACCCTCTCCGCACGGCTCGACACGTACCAGACCCTCCTCGCTGACCGCTTTGGCGCCATGACTGTCGACATCGACGCTGCCCAGATCTCCTTCCGCGTCCGCGACATCGCAGTCACCGTCACCGTCTCAGCTTCGGCCACTGTCGCCTCCAAGGTCGAGTGCGAGGCACCCGAGGTCCGCAGCATGGTCGAGAACGCGCTTGCCTTTATGGACCCAGTCTTTGGCCGCCTCGGCCCGCGCAAGGTCGTCCACGTTGACGCGCTTGACGCCGACGCCGACCTCGCCGAGGACGCCGCCAACGACGACGACGACGACGACGACGAGGCGCTTCCAGAGCGCATCGGTGATGGCGGAATTGGCTTTGACGACGGCGTCTCCGCCATGGACCTTGTTCCTGCCCAGCCTGCCGACGCCGACGCCGACGCCGACGCCGACGCCGACGCCGAGCAGCCAGCCGAGCCCATCGCCGCCGAGCCTACCCAGCTCACCAGCCAGGAGGACATGGACGTCGCTGAGCCTACCGTGCCAGAGGCGCAGGGTGCAGAGGCGCAGGAGGCACAGCCAGCGGAGGAGGCACAGGACTACTCCAAGATGCTTGTCCGCGATCTCCGCGAGGAGTGCACCAAGCTTGGCCTCTCTGCACAGGGCCGCAAGGCTGCGCTGGTGGCTCGGCTGGAGGAGCACCATGCCAGCCAGCAGTAGCACACATCCATCGCATGCCGCATTCTCGTAACATGCCACACGCATCGCCAGCCTTCCAACGTATGCCACGCCCCCCTGACCGCCCCCCCCCCC